CCTCTTGCTCATTCCTTCACCTGTGCCTTCTCTTGCTCATTCCTTCACCTGTGCCTCCTCCTCTAGCTCATTCCTTCACCTGTGCCTCCTCCTCTAGCTCATTCCTTCACCTGTGCCTGCTCCTCTTGTTCATTCCTTCACCTGTGCCTCCTCCTCTTGTTCATTCCTTCACCTGTGCCTCCTCCTCTTGTTCATTCCTTCACCTGTGCCTCCTCCTCTAGCTCATTCCTTCACCTGTGCCTCCTCCTCTTGTTCATTCCTTCACCTGTGCCTGCTCCTCTTGTTCATTCCTTCACCTGTGCCTCCTCCTCTAGCTCATTCCTTCACCTGTGCCTCCTCCTCTTGTTCATTCCTTCACCCGTGCCTCCTCCTCTAGCTCATTCCTTCACCTGTGCCTGCTCCTCTAGCTCATTCCTTCACCTGTGCCTGCTCCTCTTGTTCATTCCTTCACCTGTGCCTTCTCTTGCTCATTCCTTCACCTGTGCCTGCTCCTCTTGTTAATTCCTTCACCTGTGCCTGCTCCTCTTGTTCATTCCTTCACCTGTGCCTGCTCCTCTTGTTCATTCCTTCACCTGTGCCTGCTCCTCTTGTTCTTCAGATTTTTCAAACTCATTCTACTTCATCTAACAAGCAAACACCTTCCTTTTATGAAGCCTGTTTCACAAGCTCTTCAACAGCTAAGACTGCCAGTAATCTGGGATTTAAGATTTGGTAAATCTGAGGAATGTAGGGGGGCACTGACTAAGCCAATGGAAATGAGGTCGATGTCGGGGAGGTGAGAGATGTACTGTGTAGTAAGATGTAAACGAATTCAGAACTTGGTCACTCAGCTTTCTGTTCTGAGGAGCAAGTACGTAATGTCTTTCAGCACTTAACTAGATTATCCCAAGCCTAGTGAATCCATGCGTACTCCTCCCCAGGTGTATTAGTTTCCCATGGTTGCTGCAATGTACTGCTTCACTGCTTAGAGTCTATGGGTCAGAGGCCTAATGAGGCCTTACAGGGATAAAAGCCAGGTGGCAGCAGGACTGGTTCCTTTCAGAAGCTCTGAGGGATGATCCATTTCCCTGTCTTTTCCAGCTTCTGCCTGCCTTCCTTGATTCAATGCCTCTTTCCCATATCATTGTCCCCTCTTACTTCCATCGTCACATTCCCTATTATTAATTTTAATTCTCCTGCCCCTTTCTTATAAGGATTCTTAATGATTACATTTGGTCTACCCACATAATTGAGGATAATTTTCTTATTGCAAGATCCTTAAGTTAATCACATCTTCAAAGCCCTTTTACCATGCAAGACAACAGGCTCAAAAGTTCTAGGGATTGGGGTGTTGGACACATTTTGGCCCAGTGTTAAGTTAACCACACCACCTTTTTGCTGGCTGAGAACCACCTTTTTGCTGAGATGGCTTCTACTAATAAGAATGTATGCTAATATAAGACAGAAGTTAAGACTGCTTGCAGAAAAATCCAATGGCCAAGGCCTTGTTTTATATTTCTCATTAATCTAGTTCTTGAAACATTTACGTGGAGTGTGTCTGCGGCCCTAAATTGCAGACTATTGATAGGGAAAATAACATTCCCCTCCCCTCTCCCCTACCCCCTCCAAAATCTTGAGTGTGAGTTTGAGTCTGGTCCTGCCACTTACTTGTGGCCCTGAACCAGTTAATCTTATTCACTAGGTCAGTGTTCTCATATGTCAAGAAGAATATGGGTTGGATAAACTTTGAGATTATTTTCAAGCTCTAATTGATTGACCCCATGTTTGTAAGAATGTTATGGTTGCTCTTGCTATTCTCAGTTAATCTCAGACCAGGCACCAGGCTGCTTTCTAGAGAAAAATCAGAAGAAAACACTCACTGCCACTGAGTCCATTCTGACCATAGTGACTCTATAGAACCCAGCAGAACTGTCCCAGGGTTTTTCCAGGTTTTTCCAGGCTGGAATCCTTATGGGAGCAGAAAGTCTCATTTTCCCCCCACAAAGTGACTGGTGATTTTGAACTGCTGAAGTTGTTCAGTTGACAGCTCACCACCGAATCCACTATGCCACCAGGGTTTCTTTACTTCCTAGAGAAGTTCTGTAAAACTTGTGCTTGCCTAGGACTGCCCGAAGAGAAATCCTAATTCAGTATCTAGATGAGGAAATAAAAATATTATATATATGCATATATTTTAAAAGAAAACCTGAAGGATGCATGAAGATATTCCTTCTTTTGTTCACTTACTTATTTATTATACATATATTAAATGTCTAGTAAATGCTGCCATGTTGTTAATTCAAAGGGATTCTAACATGACAAGATTCTCTGGAAGATATGACTGGGGAAATAAAACACAGCTTAACTCAACAGAATAATAATGCTCATCATTGGCCCATTAATACGGTCAACACACATTTAGTGATGGCTTACTGCAGGTCAGTACTTCTGGTCATATTGGGAAGGGTCAGCAGGAAAGAAAAGCTACTGGCATATCCTTGGGTACAATGTCTTGTTTATCTTACATCATCTATTTGACACAGAGGGTGGAAGGGACCTTGAGAAGTAATGGCAGAGAAAGAACACTCCCCAGGTATTCCAGCTCTCTCAGGTTGACCCCGGGGATCACTAGGGTAAAGTGTCCTAGTCATACTACTTACCCACCTTGCCATGTGTTAGGCATGGGGATCATCTTCTGAAGGTCAATAGCAATCAATTATGGCTCTTGAGTTCAAGCAATTCAGAGTCAAATGGGGGGGGGGGAGATGCCATACATAATCTAAGTATGGCAACATAGTGAGACAGATATGAGAGAAATGTGAACTGTGATGGGACAATTAGAAGAATGGCCTCTTTGACATTTGTCATGACCAGCTTCAGGATGTGGTACTTGAGCTGGGTCTAGATAAAAAAATGGATGGAGAATGGATACCTCCTAGCCTGAGGGAATAGCATAAGCAACTGTCTTGAGATGGGAAACAATGTGATGGTCACGTCATTGCGGAACGTTCTGTGTGACTGGATTCTAAGTAGCTGTTTTGAGGGCAGGGGTTGTAGGTTGTAGAGATACCACATATCAAAAAGGGTTTTGGAGGACACGTGCATTTCAGCCTAGGATCCTAGCTTCTCAAACAGGAGGACTTGAAGCTTCTTGAAGTCATAGGTTAGACATGGCTCACCTTTCCACCTGATCAATGTTACTTGGAGGATTAGGAGAATGCCATTTCTGTTTCAGAACAAAAATTAATGCCTTACTAGACCAGAGCTGGTACACTGGTTTAGATAAGATCTTGAAACACAGGGACTCCAGGACAGATAAACCCCTCAGGACCAATAATGAGAGTAGCCACACCAGGAAGTTAAGGGAAAGGTGGAGGGAGAAAGGGGGAACCAATCACAATGATTTACATAAAACTCCTCCCCAGGAGTATGGATAACAGAAAAGTGGGTGAAGGGAGACAGTGGTCAGTGTAAGACATG